GTGAATTTGGATACAAAGGAAGTCCAGGGACACCCTGTATATACACCATATGTGTCTAAAAATAAATATTTTGCATATTATTCTTTGAACTCTGATTCTTATAAAAATAAGTTTATTACTTTACTATTGTAATGCATAATTGGAAAACTTACTAAAGTTTTAGTAATAAAAATGTAAAAAATATAACAAAAGTATTTTATTTCAAATTTCACTGAAATATTATTAACCATAGAAATAATATAAACACATATCCTTTGTTATTAACAAATTATTGAAAGATAAGTTCTCAAACTCCCATTCATAACATCATTTAATGGAAAATAAAAAAAAATCAAAATACTTCAAAATCACAAAATATTCATAGATTCGTCTTACATACGTCATATATATTCTGTTGTGATTGGATTATAACTAACTTGAGCAACAAATGGGTAACTTCTTAGCGACAGTCCTTTTTTGTACCTCAGATGTCCTATCACAATTGTTAATATTGTTCCAATGATTAGTAATGTACTCAATATAATGAGGATAGTTCTCATTGTGTCAAAATGCCTAGAGACCTGTGCTATGTGGAAACGATGACCCTGCAAATATTGATACTTATTATAACTTATATACACATACTCAAAAAGTTATATGTGAATAAATTGAAATAATCTCTTCCATACATATTCATATACTTCATCAATCAATCAATATACTTTATTGTTCAAGAAGCTCTCTATAATCTAAAGTTAGTACATAATTAAATTCGACAAATAGTATTCTATATACCACAGGTCGACAAATACAAAAATTTTCAAAACACCAAAAGTGAGCATCATCTTTAAAAAAATCATTAACATGGCTCATTATAATCTAAAATGAATATATGTATAATTAAATTTGTTTCTAACAGACGCCCACGCACACAAACATCTCGTGCCAATGATGTTAATGAAAATACGGAGTTAAATACAACAATAACTGTGTAATTCTAAAACTATTTTACATTAGAATACCTTGAGACTGTTATAACTTTTTGCTTGTCGTTGAAAAATTCTCTTATATTGTGTGTACACTTGTGATGCACTGTTTGGAACCTTTGGTGTAGTAATGAATATTACTGGAGTTTTATCCCAACACCAAACCGTTATCTTTAACATCTCGACACGTGTTTCAATCAGCAAGTGATCGTCTTCAAGAGGAAGATAAAACTCTTGAAGATGATCAAGAAATTCTTTAACACNACTATTTGGTTTTTTCTCTTCACACTTGTTGGACTGGACTGGCAGGATCGCCATGAAATGTTGGGTTTTCCAGGTAGTTTAATTGAAGCCAGTCATTACCAAGAGTTTCGTTTTTATTCGTATCAAAGTTAACATCTTACATCGAAGAGTATATGCACACTAATGATTCATCAGAATCGGGGTTATACAGAATTGGTTGCTCATCACTTATTATCTAATTGTTATATATTTGAACTGCAAACAGTTCAATGTACTGAAAAGGTTGCAGTAATACATAATTAGGTCGAGGTGAGTTTAATGAACCTGCAACGTTTCTATACGTAGAATTGTGGAAAAGACAATTGAATATAATACGAATTTGGTAAACTATTTGAAATGTAAAATATGTGACTTAAATCTTTATCACACCATAAAACAGAGCCATACTCTAACTTAGATCTGGCATACGCAAAATATAGCAATTTTAAGGTGGCAATAGTTTTGAAGTTTTTGCCATTTCTGTATCCTGCATCCTATTCGCATCAGCATTCATATTTCTTTCGTACAATTCCATATTAACTCTGGCTATAGGAGCTATATAAGTTTACGAGACCCCACTGTTATAAACAAATGTTTAAAGTTTTGAAAACATTCAATTCACCCACTAAGGGTAAATAAAATGTCAGCATTGTGATAAATACTTCCTTTCACGTTGCGTCACCATATCTGAAAGAGTCGACCTTCAATTTTGGGACGGGCACACTTGAAGACCCGTTTTGGGCTCCTTAGCCACTCGACAGTGCAAGATAGTGACCATCCTTGACCTAAAGTCGATGATATTCCATAATTGAAAATTGAAATTCTTTCAGAGTATCGTCTTAAGTTGGAACGAACATCAAAAATGTCTCTCCATCTAGTGGACGAGGTACTAACCAACTGCATATCCGAAATTTGCCCGATTTCTCTGAATAAGCATATGCAGGAAATTTTCTGTGAAGATTCCTACACTGACGCCTGTCGGATATAATCCAACGCCGTTCGTGGTATTAGCCAGTACATTTATTTAGATTTGTTTACTGCCTGTCTTCAAGCATAGCCCACTGACTAATAAGAAAGTTATTTGATATAATTTTAAAATTGATATTTTTTCACATCATAATGGTTTATTAAAAATCAGTTACCCAGGTTTTGTTTGCCAATATTATGCAACGAATCGGTCATTTTATGGCTGGAAAGTGACTGTGTCGAAGCATTGCATTCTTGTACTAGTGATGATAAAAGTATTTTTCACAAAAAACCTTTAAATTACCTTCACTTTGCAGTTGTTCTCATTCAAAAGATATATATCAATGCTTTTATCTTCATCGTCGTAGCATATTGGATAATTCATGTTTTTTATCACGCTTGTAGATACTGCTTTTGTGATATTGTATAAATTGCAATCACACTCCAATGGATTCCCATCAATGTTTAAGATTTTCAATTGAGACCAGTATATTAATTTAAAAGGAATTGTTTTCAAAGAGTTGTTGTTCAGGTAGAGCTGAAAAAAAAAGAAAATTTGAAGGCAAGAACAATGGCATCAGTCAATCAATCATTAAGAATACCTAAATATCCTCGTTTCAGAAACTAAAACATGAACGAAAATGAGAAATGATGTATATCATTAAGATCCAACATATATATTTAAAGAATGTCTGAAGAGAAACAAAGGAAAATTAAAAATAGTATAATCAGCTGCCGCCCCCATACGAACGACAACTCTCAGAAGTTGAGAAACTTGTGCGAGCTAAGGACTAACAAGTTCTTACCTTTTAACGTGTGAAACATTTGAAATCGTCGGCAAATAGCAAAGCTTCGCTTTCATGGAAACAGCTGATTAGATCGTTTATAAAAAGGTTAAACAACAGTGGTCCCAAATGTGAACCTTGTGGAACACCCGATGTAACTGCGATGGTATGAGAATAATAATGATTAACTCTAACAATTTGTTTTCTTTCCGTAGGATAGCTCTTGAGCCACTGCAATATTTGCCCATCAACACCATATAAACAAAGTTTATGGATTAATAGCTCATGATTATGGAATAATTTTTCACTTATGTTTGTTCAACCTACAGTCAGATTTCAATACCAAAATGATCAGTTCAAAAGGAGTTCAACTCATTTATTCATATCATTATAATCAACAAGAATCAGAGGAAATACTTCAAGTCACTGCTACTTCTTTGAGCGTAGCTCCTGAAACAATAATTAAATTTGGTTGGATGGCTTCAAAGAAACCTAAGATCTACTATCCTTGGTCCAGTCAACTGGTAGAGGACCTTCCTGAGAGTCTGGAGTAGATGAGAACAAGTATAAGGTGGAAGATAAGGGATGTTTTCACAGTTATAATAGAACTCTGTATAATTAAGGTGGTAATACCTTCGTATATCATTCGTTCTGCCACAATCTGCCACAGGAGACACTTGCAGTTTCTCTTCACACATCCAGTGTTCAGAGATACAGATGAAACTTTCATCAGGTATACTGCAGAAGAATTCAATAATATTCAGTTTATTGGCTGAACTTTGTCAATTTAGGTACATTAATTGAAGGCTGCATCTACCGTAAAATGCGCATTTGAGGAGAGTCTCTGCTAAGAAAATTGATCGTGTAAAGTTGAACTGACCTCTTAGGAGTTGTCTAAAAATCACTTACCTCGTGTAAACTTCTTTTTGCCTTTCATTGGAGACTTCTTTCAAGGTCCCTATTATTTTGTCGAGGGTCGGTATTTCTTTCTTGAAAAATGAATGTAAGGTTCTTACAGTTGCACTTATGTAGTTTCTATCAACAGGCACAGTTTTTCTTCCCATCCTAAAGATAGTTTTGACGATTTCACAGCTTCATTTCACTCATTTCCTCTAGGAGGATTTTGGT